TTGAATGTTTTCCATATTATCAAGTGTTGAGTTAATGGTGGTATGTTTATCTTCTGGAAAAAAGTCCGCACACGATTTTTTTTTCTGTGATAAAACCTGCCTGTTTGTCATTCCCGTGGCTGTCCCTAACCTCACAATCTACATGGAAAATTAATGTTAGTTGCTTTATAAACTATGGTCCAAACATTTTTCCTTACAAAAGCTCGGGGTGTTGAAATTTTAGGAAAAAAATGGAGATTAATTAACATTTTCAAAACCGCTTCATATTTCACTGATATTTAGTACGTAGTGAAAGTTGAAAGTTAATAAAGTTGCATATTTTTCAATGCAAAAATTATTTTTAGCTTTAACAGTGGAGTACGTACGGGTATTGAATTCGGTATTTTTTAAGAAAAAAATGGTACCCGAGTTTTTTTAAAGAAACATTTTTGGACCATAGTTTATAAAGCAAACTAACATTAATTTTTCATGTAGATTTACACCCTAAAATATTCGCATATCATTAAGGAACACCCTGTATAACTAGTTAAGCATACTTGAATTAAATATTTTTGAACTTTGTCTCTTGAAAATCCCGTCATTCCCGTGCCGAAGTTTTTATAAAATCAGACAATCTGCGTATGCCCGACGTTGAAAGCGAATATGTTGTCTGTCAAATTGCTTTCAAGCAGGTTGTAACCTGATGATTCATTATAGGAAGTTTAAAATAATTTAAGTGATTGTAATTTTTTCAAACAATTCCCTTCAAATAAAGTCAAACTAATTTCCCTGTCACACTGTGACTTATCTCAATAATTTAATAAATAGATTTTGCTCGATATGCCATTCCGGTGCAATTTTTTTAACACGAGAATGACGTGCATAACAGGAGAATGACGAATATGACAAAAAAAACAAAATTCAGTTTGATACAGAATTATTTAATCTAGGGCAAAATCAAGGAAATAAATTTTAAAAGAGAGTATAAGCGGGAAGGAAAAATAATACGAGATCTAGGCCAGGGACAGAAAAAGAAGGACATGTAAAACTATTTAAAATAAAAGAAAAATAATCTTTAAAAAATTCAAAGAACTACCACTTAGGGAACAATCAAGCAGAAGAGTAGATGTGTTTTTTTAATAAAATACGCCTCCCATTTCATCTGGTGATTGAAACTAGCCGCAAAACAAGGATGTATCTTTGTGGATAGAATGGTAAAAAGATATCTAAAAGAAACAAAGTCCAGCGATTTAGGGAAAGGAGGGAAGGTTTGAAAAGGAAGCCTGAAATATACAAGAAGAGTTTTTATAGACTTCTAGTTAGACAAATCATGGAAAAAATAATGAAACGTTAGATCTAGAAAATTTGACAAAGGATGCTCCAAATACACTGATCAACAGCCAAAAAATATCCTAAATAAAATCAACAAAATATTACTATTTTTAATGTGCTAAAACCGGAATGAAACTTATTTTTTCAATATTAGTTCGAGTTTTAGAGATACGGTAATTATATGTGTTCCTGCTGTGACAGTGTTAATATACTGTAATTCACAAGAATGCAAGTGCTACATTTTTATATTCGGCAAGGAAAGATGATCTAATCGGCATGATTGTGTTACGTTATACATACGTGTACATTATATTGTTTTATATTAGCCATTTTTTCCTCAGTTGGCTGACAGCGTTCATGCAAGATGTCTCGAAAGTGTGTAAACAATCCAGATCAGTTTCGTTACGTGTGTGGTGATGTGACTTTTGCGTCTCAGAGACGGTCTATTACTCCACTAATAACAAAAGCATATCAGCTTTATTTCGGTTGTAAACTAGGTGATCAAGACAAATAGTGGGCACCCCACATCTGCTGTAATACATGTGCTTCAAGTGTGAGGAGCTGGTTAAATGGCAAAAAACGGTCTATGCGCTTTGCTGTCCCAATGGTTTGGAGAGAGCCTACAAATCATATTAATGATTGTTACTTTTGCATGGTACCTTGTGTTGGACAAGTCACAGATATGTCCAAGAAAAAAAAATCGGTTATTAACTACCCAAACATACCATCTGCGATGAGACCTGTGCCTCACAGTGACGAAAATCCTATTCCAAAACCCCCAGAATCCTACACTTGCGAATCAGAAAACGAATCAGATTATGGCGATCGAGTGATTCGTCAAGAAGAAGATATGCCATCAACGTCAAGAGATCCTGATTTTATACCGAGCACGTCATTCCACCAACCGCACAAAATAGCACAGTCAGAATTAAATGATCTTGTAAGAGATTTAGAACTTCCAAAATGTAAGGCAGAGTTACTTGGATCAAGACTGCAGCAATGGAACTTGTTAGAAGACGATGCTTCGGTATGTGTTTTTCGTAAACGCCAGAAAGACTTAGAACCATTTTTCAATATGGAGAATAACTTGGTTTTCTGCAGTAACATTAACGGCTTACTGGCGGCTTTAAATATAAACTATAAGCCAGAAGAATGGAGATTGTTTATAGACAGTTCAACATTGAGTTTAAAGGCAGTGTTATTGCATATTGGAAATATTTTACGATGAGCACCAATGGCATATTTGCGGCGATTTGAAAGTTTTGCTGTTTTTTGTGTGAATGGGACAGTCGGGCAAAGGCACTTCATTACACCAGACAATACTGGCCTGTTCGTCAATTCCTAGAGCTAGGTCAAAAAAATGTACAGCATATGCCATTAGTAGATTCGAAAAAAAATGTATTACCACCACTGCATATCAAGTTGGGCCTAATGAAAAACTTTGTCAAGGCATTAGATAGAGATGGTTCAGCTTTTCAATACCTGCGTCAGAAATTTCCAAGACTAAGTGAGGCAAAGGTTAAAGAAGGTATTTTTGTTGGGCCACAGATTCGAAATATTTTGAAAGATACACAGTTTGAAAACACTTTAACAGGTATTGAAAAAACTGCTTGGAATGATTTCCGTCTGGTGGTCACTAATTTCTTGGGAAATAGAAAAGCTGACAACTATAAAACCCTTGACAAAAATATGCTGTCATCGTATCAAAAGATGGGCTGTAATATGTCTCTTAAGATACATTTCCTACACTCACACCTGGACTTTTTTCCTGACAATTGCGGAGCCGTAAGTGATGAGCACGGCGAACGTTTTCATCAGGATATTTCAACAATGGAAAAAGGTACCAGGGAAAGTGGAATCATTCCATGCTTGCAGACTACTGTTGGACTCCTGGTAGAGATGCTCCAGAAACGATCCATAAAAGAACAGCAAAAAGACAGCGCATATAGTGATTCTTATAAGTATATGAATCTTGTTACTTTTTTTAATATATCCTTAAAAATAAAAAGTTTTTTTTCTAAACCGCAACTAATTTTTTTATTTCATTGTCATTTTTGGATTCAGCGCCCCAAAATTAACAAAGAAGTGCACTTTTCCCACAAAAATTAAAAAACTAAAATTTGTTGTCCAGTGATATTGAACCTTGGAGAGTTAAAAAATTAAAGAAAATCAGAATGTTCGGAGAAGCAGTACAGCGGCAGTTGGTGAATACTTATCAAGAACTAAAAGAGACTAAGGAGTCTTTAAAAAAATGTTGTATAGCAAAGTGGTACAGAAATACAGAATACGGACCAAACTTTCCACAGTCCTGAGATTTCGAGACTCATCAAATAACAAAAAGATCGATATAACAATTGATTGAAAAAAGGCTGAAAATGTCCAAAGAAAAGAACTCATTAAAGGATTGAAGACTTTTTAGAACTAGAGGATATGCCCTGGCAAAAACGAATTTGTGAAAAAAATAAAGTAACAAAACAGAAAAGTTTCTTCTTAAACACTTTGAAGAATCTTCCCCAAAAATGCCTACTTGCATCAAAATAAGTTTACACATTTTTTTGTCTTGCTAGACCCTTCTATGTTAAGCGTACGAGAATTCGTGACAGTTTCATTTGTAAATGTATTTATTGCACACGCCAATATGGAAATGATTGTTCACAGTCTGAAGGTAAATGATTTAGCTTCCATGAAAAACTACCAATGATATACCTAAACAACACAAACATATATGGTGAAGACTGCCTTGCGCGTAAATGCAACGACTGTGAAAATACCAACCCCCTTTTTAAAGAGTAGTTTGGAAATGAGGCCTTACAGAATTTTCTATGGATTTATTTGAAACAGCATTGTTGAATGTCTCCTAAATATATAGTTTCATATTTTTCGTGTTTAAAGTTTGTCATTCCCGTGTACAGGTCATCGTTCCCGTGAAATTTTTTCCCAAAAACACCAAATAAATCCAAAATTAGACAATACGTAGCTGGTTCAATGTCCCGCAGTACCTATCACACTTTTTCAGAACACATTCAAGTGATTGTTGAAGTGATAATTTTATATTATTTGATCTGTCGAATTACTTTTCAATTTAAGTACTCAGTATTCGCACAATCACCCTCATACGGCACAAGTACATTATTTACACCGAAAAAAGGAAGATTCCATAACGTCGAATCAAAGATAACCTTCGCTTAATGCCATATGGGATACACACCATAGAACTGGTGGCTAAGGATGAAGTGAAGACTATGAAACCGGCCATACCTCTTATCACTATCAGAAAAGTAAACTAGGAAACAATGTTACTGAAAAAACCCTCACAAAAATTGTAACACAGGTAACAAAGATTCACGTTGAGAAATAACATCCTTGGGGTTTGACGTTAAGAAATAAGTTAATATTTTCTGAACTCTCCTTGTTATTTTAGGTGCAACGTTTAGTCAAATTTTATTTTGTGCGTTTTGAGTTCGCACATTTGGTTTTGGAGGTGGAGCTGATATTCGTAACCACACCCTCTCCCCCCACCCCAAATTCCTCCACTGTGTGTCATTATTTTTCGGATACTTCTCCGGAACATTATCTTTGCTTCTGATAATAATGATTATGGCATGCACAAAACTGCAGTTGACAAGCACAATCAGCTGATTTGTTTGAGGTTATGTATAAGGCTTCTGAAACAGCTGAATACGTAAAGCTCATACAGTTACTTCCGCGTGACAATACGAGCAAATGTGACTACCATGAGATGTAAATAGACGACGAACGAATGATTGTATCCCGGCAGCCCGGATATTCTCTAAATTTGAGGTTAGGTCTCTCACCTTTTTCATAATTCCGGTCTTTCTCTTCGAGAACGTCGTATACCGCCTGAGTTTGTTCTCGATATACTCCATTTTGATCTTGACACGGCCTTTGGTCTTCTTGCCATTACTAGGCGGTGATTTCTTGGACTGCATAGCACCGTAAGGTTCATCGTTGATGTCGTTAACCCCGCATGAATCTAAACCGCCCATGCCTTGCTGGGAGATCCCTTGGTTACCGGCCCTGTCATCGTACATGTCCGATTTGAGCACCGAGGATCTGCCCCCACAAGCGCTGGACACCATCGTGTGCCTTGGAGAAAGCTGTTGCAAGCTGGTGGAAGGCCGACCGTAGATGTCAGGGGCTGTTTCCCCAGAAAGGAGGTTCATGCTGTATCCCAGATTGAAACGGGAGTCTCTCCCTCCCGGCGGTTCCATTTCGCACCACAGTTTGACAGGGAACCGGCACACTTTAGGAGAGGAAACGAGGGTTTCGCGACGCACTTGTCACTATCGAGTGTCTACCGAGCACGGAACGTCGACTTCGACGAAAGCGACGTATAGATACGTTCTCCTCACGTCGCTAGACGAAACTGAACGTGCGCCACGAGACGGAGCGAGACGGAATGGTGTACTCAAATCGCCGTTGCTGATTCCTGCAGCGTTGCCAAGTCCTCTACAAGAATACATAATTTCATATAAATACCGTTTTCAGATTTTAGCTCATTCTTTTCGAGTATCATTGCGCTTTGATTATAGAGCACGCTTGTTCTTGATGAGAGACAAATAGATAACATGCTATCACGAAGTGAATTCATCATCAGTTCGTGTAAAATTAAAAACAAAATATGTACCCAGGTAGGTATATGAATCAAGCCGTTCGAAGAATACTATTAGAGTCAATAAACTTTAAAAAAATTGTATCCAAGTAGTTAATGCAACTCCTGAAACGTATTATGTGGTTATACCGTTGATTATTTATACTGACCACATTTGTGTTGAAGGAAAGATTTTGGCCCAGTATGGCATGGAGATCACACAGGGACCGATCTAGAAAATATTGTTGAGTGTCCATATGAATTTGAACTTCTTGGGAGGGAGCATGATTCATGTTCAGAATGATACTCGTCTTGGGGAGGGAGCTTGGGCAACTGAAAATTAAAAAGCCGGGTGCGGGGAACGTGTGCCGTATCAGTGCTTCTTAGAGCGAATACCCTTGTGACATTCTGACAATTGAAGAGCGGGGGGATGTCCTATTCTACATTTTATATACTCCAACCTCTACGAAGGCCTAAGGACTAAACACCCATGGGGTACCGTATCAGTATGAATCTTGTAAATAAAATAATAATTTCAATAGACCACAAGGAAACTGTAATTGTAGTATTTGTATATCTTTGTAAGGCATTTGATGTTGTAAGTCATGATATTTTGTTATGCAAACTTAGTAATCTGGGATTCAGGGGATTATTTTTCAATCTTTTAAGATCATATGTAGTGGGTATGCGGCATTATGTTAAAACAGGTAATAGTGGAAGTGAAAGTTTGTCTAAGCGTGTGGTGTACCTCAGGGATCTGTTCTTGGACCACTCTTATATTCTCTTTACGTTTTAAGCTTGCGTTATGCTAATCTTGTGTGTATTTTTTTTTTTAATTTGCTGATGATACTGTACTATTATACACATGTGATAATGAATCTAACCTAGAAGCTGTGATAAATAATGATCTGGATCAGTATTATGAATGGTTATTGTGTTTATGGTGTATAGACGTAAGAGTAATAATATTGTACCAAAGATAAATAACGTTGTGTTAGAAGAAGTAGACTGTATCAAATATTTAGGATTAAGAATTGATGATGATTCAACTTGGAGTAAGCACATTAACCACATAATCAATAAAATTACTTCTATGATTGGTGCATTATATAAAAATCGTTATCTAACAAATGCTGTTAAATATAATGTGTTATTTTTCTTCACATCTTAGATATCTGCTTCCTGTGTGGGGCACATGTGGAAAAGTTAATTTCAATAAAGTGCAAATAGTCCAAAATAAGGCTCAAAAAAGATCATTAAATTTGATCGATTTATGCACACGCCAAGAATTAAATATCTTGGATTTGAAACAGCGATTAGCATTAGATTAATGTAAATATACATATACTAAGTGACATATAAATCCGATCACCCAGTTTAAATGGTTTTATTTTAATAAAATTTTGTATAAGTACTTAATGAAGCATAATAAGTAAATGATAAAAATTTCAAAATGATTGCACTGCTTTAAAGCCCTTTGACCTTTAATAATGTGTGGATGCACCGTGATGTGCTACGCATTCTCCAACGCGCCTAGGCATGCTTCTGATGGTCAATGTCCTCCTGTGGTATCTCATTCCAGGCAACCACCAACTCCTCTCGAAGTGCTTCTAGAGTCTGAGGAGGACGTTGCAAATTGAGCAATCTCCTACCCATCATATCCCACACGTGCTCAATTGGGGATAAGTCGGGAAATCTTGGTGGCCATGGTAACAATGTGACATTATTATGTTGAAAGAAGTCTATTGTGACTCATGCAACATGTGGTCGGGCATTATCTTGTTGGAAAGTTGGATCTGCCAGGGTGTCAAGATAGGGTAAAAGATGGGGTTCTAGAACTTCGTGGATATAACGCTGCGCGTTCATGTTACCTCTGATGAAGATTAAAGGTGACCTGGAACCATAAGCTATATCACCCTAAACCATAACTCCAACAGTGTGATGAACATGTCTTTCAACAAAAAACTGTGGATTCCTCCTTTCACCACGTCGCCTTCTAACCCTGGCACGACCATCGTGCATGCCTAAACAAAATCGAGACTCGTCACTAAAGACAATACTGTTCCATTCCTGATCCCAGAGTGACCATTGTCTGCACCACTCAAGGCGATTACGTCGGTGTTCTCGAGTTAAAGGGAGGACCCAGTGTGGCCGGTATGAAAACAAGCCAAAACTTCTCATTCGTCGGTAAACACTTCGCATGCCAATAGGTCTTCCGTGTTCTGCAAACCATTCATTGGCAATGGACCTGGTAGTGGAGAAACGGTCCCTTAAGACCAATAATCTTAGGCGGCGATCTTCACGGTCTGTTGTTCTACGGCGGCGTCCAGTGCCCCTTGCTCTTTGCGTACGGCCTTCTCGAAGCCATGCCTGACAACACCTAACCACAGTGTCTACACTTCTTTGCACTCTAACTGCAATTACCCGAAAAGAATGTCCAGCTTCTCGAAGTCCCACTATACGGCCCCTATCAAACTCACTAAGTTGACGAAATCGTACAGGTCTCCGTATTCTAGGCATCGTAACCGATCGTAAAGGATGTCAAGAACCAAAATCCGCCAACGTTGATTCTTTACTGCGGCTGAAATATTCATTTTTAGAGCGTTAGAGAATTAAAAAAAAGCTATATAAAAACAGGAATGTCCAACTGATAAGGCTGAAAATTTTTTCACTTGTTATTTACAATAAGATAAATACATTCACCAACTTTTATTAAAATAAAACAATTTAAACTAGGTGTTCGGATTTATATGTCACTTAGTATACAACGTAGTAATGAAAACGTTGAAATGTAATACGCAGATCCTTTTTATCAGAGATGTACATGATTATAATACTAGAGCTTCAAAGCATATTTCATTCCAATGTAACTACCTTTAGCAATAAAATACCAAAACAAAGACTATATGTTTGTTAATAAACTTAAAATACCTACTCACAACAGACTATAATGTTCATGTTGAATTTTCTATCTCGTTTTGATACTTTATTGTTGTTAGTATTCTTGATTGGGAGTTGCCTTACAGCTTATAGCAGTTTTAGTTCAGATTCACGTCCAGTGATGTTCTTTTTTAACGCAATTGGGATGCTTTTTGTGATTAGTATTCTCGATAGCAGTGTCTGACACACTGTTTAGAGCATTGATTCCCAAAGTGGTCTATATCGACCCCTAGGGGTCTATGACAACCTGCAAGGGGTCTACGTCAGCGAAAAAAAATTTGGGGGTCTATGAAATGAATATGGGGGTCCACGATAGTGGATCTCAACACTTACACTGATAGTACATCATACTATCTTATAATATCAAAACATATACATTATTTATAAAAGTACCTATGAAGTAAAAAATTTATTATATATGTTTATAAAATTGTGTAAGTTGTAGGATGTTGGTATTCGCTTTGTGGTCGCAATACATTTTGAACTTGTAAAAACCTGAGAGTCGCAGTCTCAGAGCTTCGCTACCTTGCACTGACTTGTTCAATTCGTCACTCTATAAATACGAATGTGGGACAAATACGTTTATTCGTTTCCTGAATCTTGAAAAGGAACGTGCTAAGAAAATATTTTAAAAAATATAAACAGATAGTATATCACACAAATTATAGTGAGTCAGTGTTAATTTGTTTGTGAGTGCTGGAGAAAAGTAAGTACATTATTTTTTATTAAATTTTAGTTTTGTACTCGTAGTTAGCAAAGATAGATAAATTACGCCAATCATGACTTTAGTTATTAGTAGTTAAATATTGAATCATGCAAAATTACACGAGTACTCCTCAATAGTTTCTTTTTGAAAGTTTTAGCAATCGGTAATATAATTACTGTGCAATCTCCGTAATTCGAGCTAACTGTTGCAAGAAGATGTTCGAATTATGGAATGTTTTCGGAAAAATCAAAAAATATTTTTAATATACAGCTGCTGGATTTTCTGTCTTATTTAAATAATTTAATTTTGCCTACAGATGACTGATGCCATATCCGAATCTAAAAAGAAATGTAGACAGTACAGTGTTGATTATTTGAAATTTGGCTTCATTCCATCATTGCCGGACAAACAATCGCCTATGTGCCTTTTATGCAACAAAGTTTTGGGCAATGACGCTATGAAACCATCTAAACTGCAAGATCATCTGAGAAGATGCCACCCTGATAAAACAGAGAAAGATTTGAAATACTTTCAAACACTCAAAGATAAATTTCAGAAGAGACCTACACTGGACAGAATGTTCGCTTCGACGTCACAAAGAAATGATGATGGTTTGCGGGCGTCTTACAATATCTCGTTACTTATAGCAAAATCCGGAAAACCGCATACTATCGGAGATAAGTTAATTTTGCCAGCCGTTGAAGAGGTTTTAAAAACTGTTTCACGCAAACCTGCATCTGATATCATTAAAAGAATTCCCTTAAGCAACAATACTGTTGAAAGACGTATTGATGAAATGAGTTCTGATATTGAAAGCTTCTTATGTAATTATTTGCAAACGACCCATTTCTCTATACAACTGGACGAGTCAACTTTACCTGATAATGCAGCATTATTATTGGCGTATGTTCGTTTTATTATGAATCAAGAAATCTACGAAGAACTGCTCTTCGCAAGAACTTTGATAACCGACACTAAAGGTGAATCAATATTTCATGTTTTGAAGGATTACTTCATTGAAAAAGCAATTCCTTTATCAAATACAATATCAGTAGCTACAGATGGAGCACCTGCCATGGTTGGACGTTATCGTGGATTTATAAGCTATTTAAAACAAAATGTGTCAGGGGTGTTA